AAACAAAAAACTTAAAAATAAAAAACAAAAACAAAAAATATGGATAACAATGTAAGGCCTTAGAATGGAAAAAGAACATTAATGCTAATGTGTAAACATGCGGTAGTGGTGTAGTGGTAGAGCGCTCGCTTCATAAACGAGTGGTTCCGAGTTCGATCCCCACCACGTCCCTGGTAGTACCGCGCTCAACTCGTTTCTCCGCGCAGCGGCCTTGTTCGTCAAGGTTCGTGTTTCGGAGTTATAGAGTTGAGAGAGGGTTATAGCCACAAATAAGTAGCCTCCTCGTCTGTAGTGGCCTTCTCGGCCTTGAGGAGGTGAATTAAAAAAAAAAAATAAAAAAAAAAAAAACATAATTATGTAGTGATAAAGTAATAAACATCTCCTCAGAGTCGCGTCTATTATTACAGGCGTTTCGATGAGGATCAGCACTTATAACTAGTTTATCCCGTCAGACAAAATCAAAAACAAGTGAATGTTTTTTTATGAAAACTGATAGTCTAATAGCTTCTGCTCTAATATTTCCTGTATGTTCTTTAGATTCTCCTAGATTTATATCTTCTAGAGTAGCTAGAATAGCAGAAAAAGATTAAACAACAGCATCAACTGCTGCTTCCTACTCGCCTATCTTGTATCAGAAAATCGTTTCAGAGTGTCAACTGTTGTTTCATGTAGCCGTTTCTGGTGCTTTTGGAGAATATGATGTTGTGGTAAACTAGACGAAGGTACGTATACAATTTTTAAGCTGCGTCAAAAAAAAAATTGACATTGCTGTTTAGAGACATTGCTTCGATGGTTATCAAATTTAAAACATGAGCACAACAATGAAGATAGATGACACTTGGTGAAAGCAATTTTATGCGAGTTTGAAGACCAGTTTAGTTCCAGACGTTACAGAAACACCATCATATGCTTGTTGTCTGCAGAGTTTAATATCAACGTTTCGCTTTTCAAGCTCAGATAAAATTAACTGAGCAAATGCCTCAGCATTGCTGAGTTAATTTTATCTGAGCTTGAAATTTTAATTAATTCTAATTTTAAAACGAATCTTAACAAAACTGACACCTGATCAATTCTGGAAATATCAATAGTTGAATCAATAATTAGCGAAAAAAACTGGGCTAATTTAACTTCATAGTTGATTGTGGATGAAATTTCAGAAGCAAGCAATTGAATTAAATCATTTTACACCATGATTTAAATACAGTTAATTCCTCTTTCCATACCGAACACAATTGTCCAAAGTAAAATCATATTTGGATAATAGAGTTAACAGTTCAAGAAAATTGCCAGCGTTATTAGCTGTATCTTTACAACCCATTTTACATTGTTGATTTTCTCTGTGTCCTCTAAATGATAAATCTTGCTTTGCTAAGAACAACGTTACGTATATCATTCGTTCCAAGACTTCTCTATTCTTTTCTACTTGGTGACACGCATGACTAATTAAACCAGATATAACAATTTTATCATTTGAATACGATATTTAGTTTGCAAATACTGGCGTATTGCATTTTGATCCTAGTGAGAAGTTTTATTTTTTTTTATTTAAATTTTTCCATGCCTTTTTTTTATAAACTCCTGCTGCTGTAACCATTCTTTGCTATAATTTTCAGTTTTAAAATTAACAAGAAACCAGCAAGCGTGGCAGTACATTTTTTGATTGCTAGGTGAAAATACAAGCCAATTTCTTTCCTTTGTTATATTTCCTTTTCCAATAGTTTTTGTATACCAAAAAAATTTGGAACATACGGCCGGCTTCCTCAGTTGGAAATTGGAAAGATTTATGTAGACCTGGCTGACATGGTCCTATTTCTCACAACTTCCTTATCAGCTTTGCGCTTAAACTCGTATTACTATATTGTCCAGGATCTAAAAAGGAAATCCGATTGAGGAAGCAGTGGTTCTTGGACAGCTGTAACTATTACCGGGATATATGGGGCAAGTTCTTTTTTCATTAAATGCTTCATTTTTAGACTTGTACACCTGGTACCATTATCATTTGTCTGCTCAAAGTAGTGTTGAAATCTTTAAGCAGACGAATCAGTTTCACGACTTTCTGTATGGAAATTTTCAGAAAGGTGTTGGCCTTCATACACAAGCGTATTTACAGCAGAAGTTGTAACCGACTGAGTATCCTACAATTTTGTTAAAAATGATGTTGGTTAGTGACACTTGCTTGCATACATGTTCAAACAAACTTTCTTAGCAAACTTGCAGGTAGCTGCTCTACTTAACTTTCGTTTTTTGTTTTCATTGCTAGGTTCATGATCGATATCATCCATAGTAGTCAACATAACAATAGATTTACGACTGTTGCTTAACTGTTTCGATTTAATGCAATCGATCACTCATATATATTCTGTTAAAAATAATTTAACAACTCTTACAAATTGTAATACTGATTATCTTAAGAAAACACCTAAGTCACTAGTTTTTAACATGTTATTAAAAGAATATTTAATAAGTTATGCTTAAAAATCAAATATTAATATCAATTTTAAAAATTTGTGAAAACGGCAGCCATACAATTACGAGAACAGAAAAGCTGACAACAGATACTGATTTCCGATACAAAGTCAATTAGAAATCATTAAAAAGAATTAATTGTAAAAAACAAAAACTTCCAATCAAAAAAACTAAATTCAAATCAAAAAAACTAAATTCAAATTTCTAAAAAGAAATTTTAGCACGGTTGATTGATTAAGTTAACGTCGTTTAACAGTTTGATTATTCATTTGTTCTTTTTATTCAAGCGTTTTTATAGTTTTTAATGTTTTAATCTTTGATTTTTTTTTACCCTCAGTTTTAAAATATTTTCTTTACTTTTTTACTTATTTTTAATCTTTTTCTTTTTGTTTTTCATTTTATAAAATATTTTTAAAAATTACCAAATCATGTATTATATGCATTATAATACCTGCATAATTAGCGAACGGATAGCCCGCGCAATCTTGGGAAAAATAAGTCGACGTTTTAAACAAGTTCTAATTATCTTTTATTTTTTCGGGGAGACCGGGTTTAGTTGGAACGTTTTTTTATTTGTTAACTTGTGGCCAAAATACAAAAAAATTAAGAAATTCTTTTTGTTGCCTTAATACTTCTTACTAAAGCACACAATATTCACTAATAATGATTAAATTTTGTTATGTAGTTTTTAATATATTTTTGATTAGAGAGCTGTAAAAAAATGTTCCAACAAACCCCGCCATTGGGGCTAGTTGGAACAGACAATGGGGTTAGTTGAAACATAATATGAAAGTTGATGTTGATACGACATGTTTAATAATAAAACATGCACTTTAACATAACACAAGTATATTCTCTCTCTCTCTCTCTCTCTCTCTCTCTCTCTCTCTCTCTCTCTCTCTCTCTCTATATATATATATATATATATATATATATATATATATATATATATATATATATATATATATATATATATATATATATATATATATATATATATATATATATATATATTATATATATATATATATATATATTTTTTACATTTTAAGCAAAAACAAAATAGTATGTATTTTAGTTCTTGAAACCTTTGTTTCTTGTTTGTAATAAGAAACTGCTTTTTAGTCAGCGCAAAAGTTTAATGTTTCAACTAACCCTGTGTTCCAACTAATCCCGGTCTCCCTAATTTTAATTTATGATTTATTTATTTTTAAATGTTGATTTTAGAGAATGTTTTAGCGCCTTTGAACGTTCTAGGGGGCGTGGGGGGAGCAGCTCCCCCCACGCCTTATACTAAATTCGCCACTGTTGTTACCAACATGATAAAAGAAATTTACGGTTTAAAAGCATGCAATTTGTGTTACGATGGTAGGATTAATAATTTTTATAATAGAGCATAAAAAACAATGATTTATTTAAAAGGGTTAAGAAAATTCAAAAGGCTGAATAAAATTATCAATCATAAAGTTTGCAACCCCCTCAAATTAAGAAGGTTGCAAACTTTATATGGTCATAACTTTTGAACACTAAAATATTTTACTATGAAATTTAAAATTTCTAGATGAATATAAGTCTAGTTAAAAATAGTACAAAAAATATTTTATCAACTTGGTGCTGTGACGTTTGGGGCAGAGGCGGACTAAGATTTTAGGGTTTCTTGTTCCCATTCTCCTATCACAGTAATTTTTTTTAAATAAAATTTATTCGTCATTCATAAGAATGTTAAAAAATTTGGAATATTCTTGTTGGTTTTTTTAAACATTTAAAAACCTCCTTACGCTACTGAGTTGCTAGTATGTCACATGTTGAAGACATTGTGATGGGTGATCAAGGCTGTCGCGATGGGGGGTGTGACACCCCCTCATCAATGATTTTAGTCGGCAAATTTGACCCTTTTTGACTAGTTAATCGGCAAATGTTGACTATTTAGACGGCAAATGTAAACCCTTTCGACAGGTTAGTCGGTAAATTTAGACGTCAGTCGGTAAATGTCGTTATGAAAGTTGGAAGGCAGTCAGCAAATTTTAAAAAACGAGGACCTTCTTTTTTTTTTAAGTCGGCAAAAGTTGTAATGGCACCCCCCCCCCCCACGTGACACCTACGCGCGCCGACCCTGTGGATGGTATGTCTTCAATTGATGAAGAAATACACTCTCTTTTTCAATGCTAAAGCCTGTCATTTAAAGCAAAGCAAACGTTTGAATCTGTTAGAAAAATAATTTGAAGGTCCTTCTCATTTTGGCTAAAGTTTTATATCTATTTTTTGCATCTACGCGTCAGGTTTCCCGTCTGAAACAGTTTTTAGTTCATCAGGAAGTATTGTTCATTGTAACAGGAAAAACCTAGACCCAATAAGTAAACTATTGTTTTAATTAGAGTAAAATCACTTATTTACGAGCCCCTTTTCTTTTTTAGGCACCTGAATGCTTTCCATCAATTCTACGCCTCCCCTCTTTTCTGCGAACGTGCGCATAATTCATAACAAATTCAACTCCTACTCCCCCCCCCCCCCTTCTTCCTTCTTCCCAAACGCATAAATTTTTCTAAACAA